GACTCACAGAGTTGTACGTTTTCTCACGATCGAAATGACCACTGAGTGGCGTGTCGTGGGCCTTACAGAGAACGCGGTATTCCAAATCCTCATCATGAGGAACCACAATTTGTGGTGTATCCATTGAATCGGTGCTATAATATAGCAACCCGTTATTCAACAAATTTCGGTGCAATCGTGCACGCAGTCTTTGTGACAATTTCTTGTCCCAGTTTCCAAACTCCTTGCGTCCTAGAGCCCGTAGCAACGCTACACACATCTCATCACCCCCATACGCGGTGCGGATCAAATCTGTCACAGACGACGTTACAGTTGTAACATGAGAAAGCTCATCGTCTGGTCTGCGTGACAACGCGTCAGCCAGAGCATTCTGCTTTCCCGCCTTGTACTTCACCTCGAAGTTACATTCCGTAAAGAAGGATAGCCATCTAGCCATCCTCTGCGAGAGGTGGGGCGATTGAGTCGCAGTGTGTAGTGACGCATGATCTGTATAGATTCCAAACGGCTTGGAGCCGAGCAGGTGGGAGCTGAACTTGACAAGTGCATACTTCATCGCAAGTAGACCCTTGTCATGAACTTCTTTGCAGCTTTGAGCTGTCGAGATTCGAACGCGACCACCTGATCTCGCCCCTCGGCGTCGACTTGCAGCAATGCACAGCCGATGGCAAAGTTCGAAGCGTCACAGACGACACTGAAAGAACGATCAGGGTCTGGCAGTGCCAGTATTGGTGCATGCAGGAGGCTGTCTCTGACCCCGTCAAAGGTCTCCTGATGTTCGGTGTTCCAGCACCATTCCGCATCATTTTTAAGGAGATTGGAGAATGGCCGGTCATTTCTGCGTAGTTTACGCTGTGCTTGTTTAAGTAATTGACAAAACCAAGCCACTTACACAAGTCCTTCTGGTTCTTTGGAACCGGCCAATATAATATGGCCTTCACCTTAGCGGGATCCACTTGAAGGCCACGCTTCCCAAAAGAGCACCCTTAAAATGGAATAGCTTCTGCGCCAAAGATGCATTTGTCTGTATTGGCTTACAGTTTGTTAGTGCGCATGCACTCGAGCACCGCTCTTAGATAGACGATGTGGTTCTCCTCATCCGTCCTCCCGTGCTTCGCACGAATGTGAACGAGAATGTCGTCAAAGTATGTCTGTGCATACACCCTGTGGGGCCTGAACATCTGCGTCAAAAGACGATTAAATGTCGCTGGTGCATTTGACAGCCTTTGGGACATCATCAGCCACTCCCAGAGCATG